TAGAACAATAATTTTCATGAGTTAATCTAAGTTTTTATTTAGCGATAATAAATTTTTTAAGAAATAATATAAGAGTATAAACTATGGAGGCGCGTACGCGCGCACGCGATAATAAAAGTATTAAGTAGTTAAGAAAGTGGCAAGCACTTTTAATAGCGTAATCTCAAGTTGCTTCATTAATATATCAAAACAACACACGGGAGATATTTTCTATTTTATGAAATTATAATAGAAGAAAGCAGTTGTCGAGGTTTAAAATAAAAAATTTATTCATTGTGCAATTGTTTACGCAAAATAGGGTGCAAAAATAGCATGATTAAGAAATATATATAACAATTTTAAGAATTATCTATAACGGAATATTCATTTCATTGCTAGTTTTTAAAATCGAGTATTATAATATTATATCAACATCGCTCATGAGTCTCGAGAAGATAATTATGAAGAGGCAATAGAATTCTTGAAGCACAACAGCACAATCGATTTTCATATTTTTTTATTTGTTTAAAATAGCTAAGTAAAATTCTGGGTTTTATTTTTCACTACCATCCATAACACTACCATCTATTAGATTTCATAGACATTAGACTAAATGTTATTGCAATAAAACTTGTTTATAATTCATTATAATTTTTGAGATAACTTATTTTGAGTAAAATTACTGTCACGATAAAGCTAGCGTAATATCAAAAAATGTTTGAAAACTCTAATGTAAATATTAAATACGCAAATATAATTAAAAATAACATTTTTATATAATAATTTTTCTTATTTTTACAAATATAATTTTAATTTAAAATATTAGAGTTACAAACTGCACGTAAAAACTATGAAAATGCAAATTTGTACCACGGATTCTCAGTCCAGTTAGTTGACAGAATTTTAAACAAACGAATTGTTGCCCTGTATCGGTGTTTTCGAGTTTTCGAGTCAAAAGCGATCAAGCGAACGTAATTCTATTTGCATGGTTCATGTTTGCATTTCTATGGCGCGTGAATAACATGCGCGTATATCCTAGGAAACATGGGCAAGGCAAAATAGAAAATGCAGGAAACATTACTATTTATTTCAATTTTAAAGAAACTGATTGAACTTATTTTTAAGCTTTTGTACAGAAAAAGTTTTTATATGTATCGTTATTCCTTTGTCTTACAGGAAGACAAGGAAGTAAAAATTGAAAAACGGGAATTCCCAAGATGAGAACACATTATACACATATATATGTATGTATATACATCATACAGTTGTCATATAATTTTTTCATTTGTGAATCACAAAATACACAAAGTTTCAAGATACCTACAGTATCGCTACGTAGATTAAAATCTAGCGATACTTCGTAGAAGAGACATTAACTGATCCAAATTGATGACAACTACAAAGAGCAATGTTTCTTTTACCTTTTTATAATTTAATAATACAAATAATCTTTTTATAATTTAATAATACAAAATAAGCTCATGGAAACGTTTTGTTATAATATTTCGTTTGCTTAGTCGTATTTAATCTTGATGTGAATCTTATCACAAAGTTAACAGAAAAATATTGAGAAGAAAGATAAACAAGATAGAGATTAACCAATAATGCAAAAATGTAAAAAAAATTGCAATACATTTAACATAAATACAATCTCATGAAAGATGAATTTGTAATCATAATAATAATAATAAGAAATAACAATGCATCTGTATTATTATGATGTATGTATTATTGACTTTAGAATGCAGAAACAATTAACACGGTAATTATTATTGCAATTGTAATATCCATCATAAGATAGGAATTTGTAAAATGCTTTTCAAATATTAGGCTGTTCTGAAAACATTCTATTCTTTGTAAACTGCTAATATACAAGATTTTGCTTTATGAGATATCCGATAAGAACGATAAAATTTATTATCTAATGATAACTCGATTTATCAAATGAGTTTAACAAGCATTATACTTCAAAGATCATTTAATTTCATATTTTTAAAACGAATTTTTTTGTGTTCATTCGACAAATTTTTTTATCTGAAACATTTAATTGCATAAAAAATATTACATTACAAAAATTGTTCCACGAAATATTATCGTGGATTCGTTTTATTTTGTCTTATCACTCGAGGTTATGTTTGATGAATTATCTTTTATATATCTATAGTTAAACGCTCAAATATTCTAACAATCTACTTGATAAATCATGTAAGAAACATTGTGAGGCGGTTTCTCTTTTTTATTAATCTAAAACAATCGCAGTATGCCGCCTATGGAGAGACCGGATTATGCATTCGCACATCATCGATGTAATTTCAAAGTACCTTAACTCTCTAGAGACGAAGGAGAAAATTATGCAAACACATACGCAGGCCACCGTTTTATCCGTACGAAGACTGGGATAACCCGAACTTTCCCAGGGATTGCTCCTCAACAGAGCAACGTTTCAGGATTGTCACAAGATACCTACCCTGGTAGATACTGGAACTTTAAGCTCACCATCGTGTATAATGGCGTTCGAGCTTCTTCATTATGCAGGCCAATCATGACTGCAACTTCCTTCAAGTCGTCCACCGTGTCAGCCTTTCAATTATACATATAGCTCCCGATTTGACGTAGTCCATAGCGTATTTCTATTATTTATAATTAAACTATTTATAATTAAACTACTTCTCTATATTAACAGTTAATTGTATTATCTATTATAAAAATTAATACATTTTATAATTTGTTTAATTTTAAAGCAATTAAAATTATAATAAATTAAAGAGATTAATAAAAATCTACATATATAACTATATAAAATATATATTTATTATAATTTTAGAAACGAAACATATATGTTAGAACATTATAAGGTATGATAATAAAATTTGCTTTCTTAAGATAGAACAATTTTTTTTATTATCTTCATAAAATATACTAAAAGAATTTATGAAAGTGTAAAGAAAAGATTCAGATTTTTCAGAAAAAAATTTCTTTTAATGTTAGAAAAAGAGAATAAAAATAAATTTTATTATAAATAATATGTTTTAAAAAAGTGAATTTTTTTCCTTTTTATATGAATATAAATTGTCACTTTTAATTACAATTTCTCTTCATATCATTCACTCCACTTTTATTTACTTGCATATAAATTCTTATTCTTGAAGCAGAATAAATGTTTGCACAAAGATTACGTATCGCGCCATATCGAAAGATTGTAACACTCAATACGTTAGTTTGACGTCTATAATTATCAACATATTCATTAAAAAATAATACTTTTGTTCATCGACAAGCGATATGATCAAATATCAATGCGAATTTTATTGCAAAGGTGTAAAGGATCATTTTTCTAAAGTAAAAATAAAAATAAAAATAAAGTAGCATTTGCAAAAGAGAAAACGATATTTGATTTTAATATCTGTTACAATACGTAATTATACATATGTTTATACACACTAGATACAATTTTCATAAATTATTCAAAATTAAATTAATTAATGCAAATATTATATTCACATATTACAAATATTTATTTATAATATGTGGATAATTTTTATGTATATCAAAAAGGGAAAAATACAAAGATATATTCTAATTGTAAACTTGATTTTGTAGAGAATCCGAGAAATGCAAATTTGATTTAATACATACCTTTTTGAATATTTCTTTCTTTAAACATAAAATCTCAAATTAAAAATTTAAAATTATAAATATATATTTTCATAATAATTATTATATATATTTATTTATTTATTTATCCTATATCTCCACAAAATTCATTTTATTATTAACATATTATAATATTGTTTATCAACATTCTTTTAAAATAATCTATAATATATTTGACAAAAATTTCTATGTTGTCTTTTCTACATATAAAGAAAGCAACATTTTCTTAATGTTGTAATTTCATCGAAACCACAAAATGTTTTATTTTTCTTTTTTCAAAGTGTTTCTTGTAAACACGTTTTAAGCAGAGGCCTACAACCAAACTTAAGGTACCACTTAATCTTCCAATATCAAGGTGTATAGAACGTAAGTAAACCTAAACGCAGCCTAAAGGCAAGACATGTAGCCTACAGCAATTATATGCAAATTTCAGCAAGTTGTGCCTAAAACCTCAACACTGTCATCAAGTAGTAACTATTTCGACTAAACAAGAAATGATGCTAACAGTACTCATCAATAAATCGACAAAGCAACAAATTAAACGGAAAAGAATAAATTTTTAAACAGGAAATTGAAAGGAAGATATAACAGGAAATTGAAGGAAGATATAAAAAAATTGATTCTTTAGATTAATTGGAACTTCTTCATATGATAAAAAATAAAAATAATCTTCTTTTAATCTCAGCAATAAATCAGATATTTTATACAATTTATCGATAATTATTTAATATAGATAAAGTATTTCTTTTCTTCTTTTTTTTCTCTTGCTTCTTTTATTTTATAAATTATTATAATAGTGTAAAAGTGAAGTTAACAATTTGACAATATTGCGGATATGGTATAAGTATGTTTCATTCTATTCTGACTTGAGGCTTGTTATCGTCATTGCTCTGAGGAAAGACAAATATTATCTCATTATATGTCTGACAGATGTCTGAAGTCGACAACGATTTACCTTTACTCGTGAAAGAGAGATCGTTAATGACAAATAATATAACAACTACGCAGTAATTCTGAATAGTCTTAAATCGGCGATACGGTATAAACATTGCTGAGCGTTGCTTCGTGTAATTGGACCTTCCGTGGATTTTAACTGAGCCTGATCACAATAAGCTGTGTCAGTATTAATAAAAATAAAATCTAGACTCACGCGCACGCGTGTGTCTGTGCGTGCATGTACGTGTGTATATGCGTGTGTAAATTTTTATCGTATATATATATATATATATATATTATCATATATATTTATCACATTGTTACATATTACAACATAAAGCGATATCTAAGAAACTCTATCTAAGAACATATGTCAAATGAATTGATTAAGGCGATTTTTGGAAATAGATCGCTAGCAAACTTGTTCCTCGTGCTGATAAATCATTATGACTAATCGCTTCTCGTTAATTTTGTCTTTACTAATTATTTTTGTTTTATCCTTGAATCTAACGTGTGCATATAATGATACCACGGAAAATGAAAATGAAAATTTGAGGAAGGATTCCACGCGGTATCGACTACCCAAGAAGATCGTTCCTATATCCTATGATCTATCGATCAACACACACCCCATCGATGCGGATTACGACGGTCATGTACGGATCATCTTGCAAGTGCTCGAAAAGACAGACTTTGTCGTACTGCACACAGACGGATTAAGAATACAGAGAAGTGCGTCTGTATCGGATAGATCGGGTCAGTCGATTCGGATTTTACATTATACTCACGATGAAGAAACTCAGATGCTTACGTTTAAACTTGAGCGTGCACTGCAACCTGCGAAATACACGTTAGAGATATCCTTCAAAGGACACATCGCCAACGACGTTTTCGGCTTTTACGCAAGCCTGTACGAAGTTGATGGAAAACTGAGGTAATATTCTAAGGGAGAACTGTTAGATATATGTGATATTTTAAAGCTGCTGCTGCACGTCAAGTAGTCGGAGTAAAATCTAACATGCAATAAAGTTACATAAAGATATGCTGATGCATGAAATATCCCTTTAAAATCAAAATCGTATCGCTTGTGTACTTATTAATCACCTAATCACCTAATTCTCTGTATCTAAATTATAATTTATTTCTATATTAATAAAAGAATCCAGATCAGTTATTTAGAGATATATATTTTTAAAAATAAGAATATGATATTCTACATATTGTTAATCGTACTTTTCAGACGAATTGGCGTAACTCAATTTTCGCCCACGTATGCACGTCGTGCATTCCCTTGCATGGACGAGCCGTATTTAAAAGCGGAATTCCAAATACATATTGGCCATCGCAAGGATCAAAAAGCGACGAGCAATACTCCAGTAAAATCTATACGAGTTGTGTTAGTTGAATTTTTCAATTTTTTTCGAAGAAAAATCTAAGTGGTAGCACATACAGAAAGAGAAAACAAAAAGCATACAATTACCATTGTAATATTTACAGAAATGATACCTACTACGTGACCACGTTCCATCGCACACCGCGAATGTCTACATATTTGGTAGGATGGACGGTGCACAGCTTTGTCCCGGAACGATCGGGAATTTCGGAGGACTTCACGATGTGGACGAGGGACTCCATGAAGTTTCGCGGATCGATGGCCTTGAATCGCGGTCGAGCGGTTTACTCGGCACTGCAGACGTGGTTATTGGTGAAGAGTCCGCTCGAGAAGGTCGATCAGTTTGCAATACCGGACTTCAATTTCAACGCGATGGAAAACTGGGGCCTGATCACTTACAGAGAGTCCGTGGTGTTGCACGACAGTGGGACCCCGACGAGAAAGACGGTGGACGGACTGACGACGATGTCTCACGAATACGCTCACAGTTGGTTCGGCAACCTGGTGACACCCGAATTCTGGGATGTCGTCTGGTTGAAGGAGGGCTTCGCCACGTATTTTCAGTACTTCGGCGTGTCTTTGGCGGAACCGGATCTGAGAATGATGAATATATTCGTAGTAGAATGTTTGCAGCCAACACTGCTCGCGGATTCCGACAATCATACGCGCACGATGAACGGTCGAGATGTCGGAAGTCGTAATAGCGTTTCGGCCACGTTAGATTTTGTCTCCTATAAAAAAGGTGCATTTTACGCAGGAAATATGCGATGGTTTATAAAATCTTATAAAAGATATTTACATTGAAAATTTTCTCGTTAATATAGAAATGATAATTTTTACGAGTAAATGAAGAGATGTAGAAATTTCGCATATGTTTTATAAACATGACGTATTTAATTATCTTTGATCAAAAATCATTATGTGTGCTGTGTCATCTGTTACTTACGCAACATATTGATTATATCGTTATACGTGTAACGATCTCGCAAAACAGATAATGTTATCTTCTGATCATGTGATAATTTATCCTTACAATTAATTATTAATTCAAATCTTACAAAAAATTATTTATTGACGGATTTTATTTCTAAGATATCTTTATTTCTATACATATCTTAAATACTCTGTTGCTCTAATTTTTATACAACATCGTACGAATTGTAATTTTAATTATCCACGTTCTTTTTTTTAGAATTTTAATTAAAATAGTGATTACGTAAAATTGCAAAAACTGGAATTTTGCTGATTCACTTTATTCTTAAAATTAAATATGTATAAAGCTGATTATATAAATATGCCATTTTTTTATATTTAAATATTAGAATAATGTTAATGGAAATATGCAATTTTAACTTTTAATTTTCATTATCAAAAAATATATAATAACATATAATATTTTTGTATAAACTTCTTAAAAATCAAATTAATCAACGCCGTAAAATGAAATAAAGAGAGGAAATCGATGAAGTTATATAAAATTATTATATTTTATGTTTTAATATTATAATTAAAAATTTATTAAAAGCGGTGATGATAAATTTGAGTCTCTTCTGAAAGACTCATATAATATAATGACATAATCAAAATGAATTGTTATATTTATTATTTTTTAGGTGCATCTGTTATTCGCATGATTAATCATATAATTGGGAACACAACGTTTCGATTAGGATTACAAAATTATTTACGTGAGATGTAGGTATTTGTATTACACATAAACATTTGTAGAATTTTGTCGACAATGTTCCAACATAAATGCATAATATTATTATTATCGTAATTTAAGGAATCGTCTTATTTTCAAAAATAATAATAACTATTTTCCCTTTTATAACATTGTTTTCATCACAAAAATTAATTTTTATTATTAGGTCGTATCAAGCAGCTACACCATCCGACTTGTATCGACACTTGCAAACTGTAGCCAACGGATCTGAGCAAATAAATAGGCCTTTGTTTATAAAAGACATTGTAGAATCCTGGGCAAATCAGCCAGGATATCCTTTAGTGATCATTACACGAAACTACACGACGAAAATTCTTTTTGCCTCGCAAGAACGATTTTATCTGAATCATCAAACAGCGCAAACAACTTCCGACAAATCGGGTTGGTGGATACCATTAACCTTCGTTACCGAAGAATCGAATTCTACGTTCGATCAAACTACTACTATAGCAGCCTGGTTGGAGCCACAGACAAAGAGTACGATTATCGGTTCTGTCGAATCGAATTCCTGGGTGATTTTCAACGTCCAACAAGTTGGATATTATAGAGTCAATTATGACAAGAATAATTGGAAGATGCTTATCGATTATTTAAAGTGGAAAAATATAAAAAAGATACATGTGATAAACAGAGCTGCGCTTTTAGATGATGCTTTTAATTTAGCTAGAGCCGGTTATGTGGATTATTCCATTCCAATTGATCTCGCAACATATCTTATTCGAGAAACTGAATACGAGCCGTGGGTCGCTGCAGTAAATAATTTCAATTTTCTCAATCGTATTTCAGCTTGCTCTATGCGAGTACAACGACTATTTCAGGTAAGAGATTCATTATTTATCTACATTTGTAAATTTAATTTATTGAATTATATGAAGAACATTTTTTATTTATAATATAACTTTATATAATATGACTATAAACAAAATTAACATAAGTTTTTTATTTCTTTATGTTTATACATTTGCTTCTTTTTATTGTCAGAAAATAATAAGAATATAATATGAAAAAGTGTTAACAATGTTACAGAAGTAAGATTGTTATATAAATTTTTTACTATTTTATGTTGTGTTAACATTTTGTTAACACAACAATATAACACTTATATTGTCTATTAAAGAAATTTTTAATTATTACAAACTAACTAGAATTAATTAAAAAGAAACCTTTTTTTGATAACATTTTAATATAATTTACAGAACTATGCAAATCGCTTACTTGAACCGATATACAGCTTATTAAACTTTATTGAAAATTCCATGGACAGTTCCATATCAAAATTGCATCGTGAATTAATCTTATCTACCGCATGCTCGGTCAACAATATTCGTTGTCTAAAAACATCAAAAACTCTATTCAAATCGTGGATTTTATCTGAGGAAAGGTACGTTTTAATCGTTGGCAAGACAAATGCCAAAATCAATCAATATAATTTTATAAAATTGTAATGTTAATATTTTTAATTAATTTTAAACAAAGTCCAATAATTTGAAGATATACATATCGGGTATAATTTTTGTAAACTGTTGCTATATTTTTAGTATCTTTTAACAGAAATTTTTCCATAGTACGCTCCATCTTCCTAAAAATAATAATTGATTAAATAACACAACACATGATTTTATAATAATATATTTTTATATATACTCAGTGCAATACCAGGAAATTTCAAGAGTTTTGTATATTGCGTCGGCATTCGCGCAGGTAATGATTCTGATTGGCATACAGTTTGGAACAGATTCCTTCACACTGATTTACATACAGAACAGGAACTTTTACTCAACGCACTTGGATGTACTAAAATTCCTCATTTAATCGATAGGTAGATTCTAAGAATCGAATTACGCAGATAAGCATGTTTAAAATTAGATATTGAATTGATTGACTTTCAGATATCTCAACACGTCAATAAAATGCGAGCTCAAACTTCGCAAGCAGTACAGGATGACAATAGTTAATGCCGTTTTGAATGGCAATCCCGAAAATGTTAATTATGTTGTCGATTTTATTCGCAATAATTTGCATGCAATTCTTGAATCGTATGTATCATGCATTGTCATATTTTTTATTTTTTTATTATATAACTACATATTTAAAGTATTTTATTGTATAATAAAATTGTATAATAAACAATAATTATTTCAATTAAAATTTATTACTTAAGAATCAGAGAGAGTATTTTAATTTATTTCGATATTCCGTTGGAACGACAAATATTTGTTTACTTGCACTATTTCTATCAAGAAAGTTTCATAGAATAATTGATTTTCGTTAAAAATGTTAAACTTAATTAAATTTTTTTTATTTTTGTTAGTCACATATAATCAAAAATAAATATATTGTAATTCATTTATTTATTATGTTCATTTTTATATTTACATATTATACAAAGCAAATATTATATTTTTGTCTACTTTTATAGGAGAGGAATAGATTTCTTATCCAAAATGCTTACTGCTGTAGGCGATAAACTTATTACGGAAATTCAATTAAATAAGGTAAATTATTCATAATATTCAATTTTTCATTGTATATCAGTAACTATACATTACTATAATAATATTTTCAATATTATAGTTCCGTGAATTTGTTGATAAAAACACCGAAAAACTTGGATCAGCATTAAATTCAGCAAAAAAAAGCCATAATTACTTCAACTTCAACCGTAACATGGATCAATAAATTTTTACCTGCAATTGAAAAAGCATTATTATCTAATTAATTATTGAAAGGCATATTATTATATATATAAAATTTATTTTATAATAACATAACTTTTATAACAAATATATAGAATATTTCAATATACATTGTATATTATATACATCTGTAATTAAATCTAAGTACATATATAAGGAAAAATAAAGAGATATTATAGACTTAAAAATATATGATATTTATTTTCCTAAATTAGAATTGTTTTTATTTTTAAATGAAATAAAATTTATAAAAATATTATTTAATTATTAATTATTAATTATTTATGACTAATTAATTATTATTTTACTATAAATTATAATTTGAATAATACAAAAATGTTATTTTTTTCCTGTACAATAGACATTTAGTACAATTGTTAATAGATTTTTACATTTTCTATATTTACTATACTTTAATAATAGATGCGTATATAACATTAAAAATCAAAAATTTTTGAATGAGATATGTATGCTATGTCGATGATAAATATCCTAAATGGATCAATCAGTTTTTATCTCCATCTGCGTAAATATATCGCGCATAGATAATAAAAAATAAGTCACTTATTGAAGTAAAAAATAAGAATAACAAAAAATCTTATTTTATATATAAACTGTGAGAAGGATTATATTATTCGTTATACTATTGTTGAAAATTTATTTATAATATGTTATGTTTATACATATTACACACAACATACATAAATAAATAATCATATAATAACGAATATATAATTTTATTTTAGGTATATAAGAACGGTTGAATTATGCAAAAGAATTTTTATGTTAAACAATTATAATTATAAATTATTTTAACTTCACAACAGGAATCGATCGTAG